ATCTGAATCCTCCTCCCTTCAGAGGGACGTCCTCCTCCAAGCTGCCGTCCGATGAACCCCCATCAACACTTCTCGGTTCCTGTCCTCCATCCCTCGTACCAAACTCTTTTCCCGGAGGTGTTTGATTGGCATTGTCCCCCTCGTTAATGAGCAACAAACTGCAAAGTGTTGTGATTTCAGGTTCTTTATCCGTGATTTTATTTACCAGAATCTTAGGGGACACTGATGGCAGATCTGTGCCCTGAAAACACAAGAATTAGAGTCAGACAGGGTTCACCATGTTGTGGGAATAAAGATATAAAGAGTTTTCTTTTGCCTCCGATAGTCTCCATTTCTTTTATCTGTCAGATGATCATAATAGTGTTCAGGACAACGCAAACAACGGATCAGCGTTAACAAATGTGGACACTCTTGGGGCTCTAAATATTAAACTCTATAGGTTTTATTAACCAACCTGATCATCCATTTGTGATATGATCAGGGTGCTGACACGTGCATATCCCAGCAGAAGCAGCAGGCTCACACACAGTCTCTGAGTGTGTGTGAACGCGTTGGGGCAGGGGCAGCTGTACAAAGATATCCAGATGTGGAAATCGGCCAAATAGTCTGATAGCTTGAGACTCAGCATCTGCAAGGGGGGGAGATATTAATATTAGTTTTTTGTATCTGAGTGTATGTGTATGAGGACTCTGTACCTTAAAAAAGCCTATTCCACGAGTGCATTTTCCCAGAATCCTCTCCACCCGCCCGTCACTTTGGTTCACAGCCAACCAGCACTGAGCCACAAAGAGCCACGCACGTCGCTTCAGCTGCCCTCTGCTCACCTGGGTTATTAAGAAACAGAAGGAAACAAACCATATTCAATGCTAATATCATACCTGCCAACCCTACCGATTTGGGCGGTAGTCTACCGCTTTTGACATGTTTCTACCGCCTACCGATTTAGCTGACTCTCCCTACCGATTTTCAATCTTCCCAAACTATAACAAATAAAAATGACACTACATAGACACTGGACTCGACTTTTGGCGGACACCGTTTGCAGCGTGTCTGTGATCCCATCATACAAACAGTCCTCTGTGTTTCAGTCGATCGCGAGATGTGTCTAAAAATAGAACAACAATATTCTGTTTTATCGTTAATGTCCTATAACATAATCTTCCTGTGCCAGAATAATGCACATGAACGCATCAAAGCTTTGTGATTGGCGTGACCCCATGTATCGGGGCGTGGCTGGTAGGCAGTGGGCACTGGGCAGTGGGCACTAGTTTGCTGTGCAGTCCGCACACACAAGACCACAATTATGGCAGAAGCAAAAGAGCCCAAAATATATAATTTTCACTCTGAGTGGGGAGGATGATTATTTTTGTATCTATTCCAATTCAAAGTCTATCTGTCTCATCTGCAATGCGAGCGTGGCTTTATCGAAGAAGGGTAATTTAGGAGCGGCATTTCAAAACAGTGCACAAACGCTACGAGACGGAATTCCCTCCTAATTCTGCCCTACGCTCCCAATGCACAGCAGTCCATTTTCACCAGGCCCAACAACAAGAGCAAGGCTGCTACCATAGCATCTTATCGTGTCAGTCACGTTCTTGCAAAACACATGAAGTCTTTCAAAGACGGCGAAGTTGTGAAAGAAGCATTCCTGGAGGCTGCCGACGCGCTTTTTTGGGACAGTAAAAATAACAGTAGCATTTCAACAGGTTTTTGATATAATAAAAACTCAAGTTAGATACCGTTATTAATCAGCTGTAAGTTTTAGTTTGTTTGAACTTATTCATTATAATGATTGTACAAAATGGTATAAGAATGCAAACTTTAAGATCTGTTCTGTTTAAATTGATTATAGTCTATTATCAATTCAGGTTAAGAAACTAGTGCTGCTTGCATCCTATTTTAAAAGGCATTTCTTTTTATACTCTACTAAAATGCAAAAAAAAGAAAAGGCTTTGATTCTATTAATTTTGTCTTTTTTATTGCACTTTGGCAGCAGATTCCTGTGTAGCTTCAGATCTGAGTTGTCTTATTAGTAAAACTAATTTATACTTTTGTAGCAACACTATTTTTATATAATGGCAAAGAAAGGGTTCAGTCTTTTCTTTTTTTCCTGTATCATATGTGGCAGCACTGTTCAATGTTTCTTGAAAACATTACCCACTGTAGTATGTGACGTGTGAATAAACTCCCAACTCTGTATCAACAACACTGTTGTGTAACTTCAGTTAAATACTTGTGTGTGTGTTGATTAGAAAGAGGTAAGATAAAGGATCTGCAGTATTTTATGAAGTATTAATCGTACAAAGGTCAGTTTTATACAAGTAGAAGTGTGTATTTACCTGGTAGTAGGCTGTCAGTAATGGCTACACCTCTCTATTTGGACTGGTAGATCTCGGCAGACTGGCCACTTTAAAAGTAGCTCTCGGTTAAAAAAAGGTTAGGCACCCCTGATCTACACTGTCAAGGTTCAAGGTTCTTTATTGTCAAACTAACATAGCTACAGAGTAATTATGTCGTTGAAAATCTTATGTCACAGGCTTCGCCAACAATGCAACTGAAAGAGGACCAGAAACACATTAAAAATATAATAAAATGTGGAGACTTTGGGATATTTATCTCCCATTCTTTTACTTTTCGGGCATTTTACAGACCAAACATGTCGTTGATGTCACTGTTTAGTGTTTACCAAACTACCACTTTTTCTGAAAAATGCATAAAATGATGCAATATATGTTAAATACATGGTTTATACATGTAATTACTGGGGTTCTGATTACCTAATTTGGGCGTGCACATTTGCCGCGCGCAAACCTACCTCTTTTGGATTTGGAAAGGTTGGCATGTATGTAATATGTTGGGCACTTTTAGGCACAATTAGCATAAGTTGAGTTAATTAAGATGAATGGCATTATAGAATATGTAAACAAAAGTAAAATAATTATGTGGCTGATTTGGAGTGGGGCACAGCCCCACCTAGTGTCAGCAGAAAGTATTACACATAATGATTACAAAAAATGCAAAGAGATGCAAAAAAGAAATTAAAAAATATATAAAATATATTTTAAGGTCATGTTTAATCATCTGATTTGTCTGTACATTGCTGTTTTAGTCTGTGTTCTTCTAATTAGTGTCTACAGTGTCGTTTTGAGCCATGTGGGACAAAACCTGATCATGCCCCACCCTTTCACTGTCAAAGTGAACGGTGACTGTAAAAACTACACTGCGCATGCTCAGAGTATTTTTCAATGTAATGTGTGTGGCAAAAAAAAAGAAGACCATAGGGGCACAGAGCTGCCATCCCCACCATACGTCATCTCACATCATTCAGAGCTGATTGGCTGTAAGTACGTGTGCCGCGAAAAGTGTGGTGTGTGAAGAGGAGACGAGAGAGCTGCAGTGACGCGTCCTAAAACCAGGAAGTAAGCTGCAAAAAAGCAATGAGGTTTCTCCATAGGATTTTAGAAAGTAGCTCGAAATAAGATCTGTGGGAAATGTACCTGTTAGATAAATGCACGTTTTGTTCAGCCGGATAATATCCACATGTCTACCCTACTTTTATAATTTTCGAATCATAAATCTATCGATTAGATTTATGATAGACTTTTGAAACTACTAGAAGATAAGGAGGACTTTTACAAAAAAGTTATAGAATTTTTTGTCCAGAAGGATAGGCAAATGGACTTCATCTTCAAGTCAAGGTAAGACCGCAGAGAGAACAATTCAATATTTAAATGATAAAATTACATTTTTTGGGTATCCTTTTGTTGAACTGTCTGTTTAAAATTAATCGAAGCATCAGACAAAAAAAGCTTTTGAAAATAATATTATATTTTGGTTTAGGTCAAAATATAATATTTGTAAACCTGAAGAGTCAGTGCCAGTGCCTCACCAGCCATGAACCTCACTGCACGTCACTGCAGAAGCTTATATATAGACATCTAAGTTTTTTGTGCCCCACCACTTTTGTACATATAAAAACGCCACTGCATATGTGTACTCTCTGTGAGCTGATTTTGACTACCATGAGTAATGTTTCCACCATTGGATGTACAGAGCACAAGATAACAAAAATTACCTCTACTGTGGACAATTCTTTTTCAAATAAATAGGCAATCTGGCAAGAATAATTTACCTACATTGGATGGATCTTTCCAACTGAATTTATGAGGCCATACATATGTCCTCTAGCGAGTGGCCCAGCCCTTCGTCCGGCAGTGGCTCAGTCAGTAGGGGCTTCGACTGGGAGCTGGAGGGTCGCCGGTTCAACTCCCCGACCAGACCTAAAATATGGAGTGTGGACTGCTACTTGGAGAGGTCCCAGTTCCCCGGGCGCTGTGCAATAGCTGCCCACTGCTCCTAGTAGTAGGATGGGTTAAATGCAGAGGTCAAATTTCACTGTGCATGTGTGACAATTAAAGAGGGTTTCATCCCTCCGATTCTATCTATTACACACACACATACACACACACACACACACACACACACACACACACACACACACACACACACAAAGAGGGTTTCATCCCTCCGATTCTATTCGTATATTCTTCTGTATGTGGCCCTCGGTGAAAAAGCTTTGGACACCCCTGGGGTAAAGGATGTGTGTGGTAATGTCATTCTGTACCTCGGACACGTCCAGGTGTTTGATGTTCCAGCTCGGGGAGGGTCCAGAGTTGTTGTGCCAGATGTGCACCCCCCACACAGGGCCCAGGCTGTCGGCTGCACTGTGGGGTCAGAGACAGACCGCCTTTATAAATGAGCAAAAACAATTCAAATAAAAGAGATATAGAAAAATCAGGAATAATACACTTTTTTTGAAAGAACAGAATTCAAGTTGTTGTTTCCCCTTTAATATCAGTAAGATGTCCAAGGACGTTTCGATTATTTTTATGTGTTATCAAAGACATCTGCTGGATTCTCATGGCCTTGCCAGTGACCTGTTTAACGTGGATATAAAGGCGGGAACAGAGCGAGACGTGTCTCCCTTCTCTGTCTGAACAGCGATATTTCAGAATGAGGAGAGCTGCAGTTTTTCTGGCGTTGCTGCTCTGTCTGCTCTGGACGGGGGCTCAGGGTGAGGATGGAGGGGGGACAGGGAAGAAAGAGGGGGAGTTTGATATCCAAGTAGTGAAAGCAGCCCACGATCAGAGCAGCAGTGAGACCCAGATGAGCACTGACGTCTGGGCTGAGCTGAAGGAGCTCAGAGACATGGCCATCAAACACAGGATCAAGATCCAGAGGCTGGAGCAAGACAACACAGGTGACACACCTGACGTAAAACACACTGAGTGCCACGTCACGCTGCACTGATACATGCAATCATCAAAACTGACACTCTTCACTTTAAGGACTCATTTGTTGTTTTTAACAAAGTCACACAGGTCAGACTGACAGCCAGTGAGAGCAAGAATGCAGGTACATATTTTCATATGCTTACTTATATGTTGATGTACAATAATGTTTGGGACAGAGCTCCAAAGTGACATCTACAATAATACTAATAACTATTTTTAAATGTGTTCAGCTTTAGAGGGCAGGATGAGCTCCAGTGAAAAGCAGGTGGAGGAGCTCCAGAGAGAGAACGCAGGTAAGAAACAGAAACTATTATTAAAAAATAAACATTGAATGTTTTTGTGTATAACCAAAAAGAGAGAAAAGAGAAGTGAAAGATATATGTCAGAGAAACAAATTCAACATCTTGATGAAATATATGGAGGTAGTTTATCAGCTGTTAACCTGCTCTTTCTCTTTGTTGCAGATCTCCTGGATAGAGTCACAGCAAGTGAGAATAAGAGCACAGGTAGGAGTTGTTGGAGCAGAACACCTATTGTGGTGGCTGATAGCCACCCCCTCTGCTACGCGCCGTTCGTTGGATGAGGCTGATCTCTATTTAATAAAGAAAATAATTGAAAACACCGGAATCAAAAGTTATAACAATTATCTGAGTTTACTCTTGTATGAAACAAAACACGTATACAAGTTTTACAGAGTACTCCGGTCTTCAGGCTTGTGATGCGGTTTACAGGTAGACAGACCAGCCTTCAGGAAACGAGAAGTACGGACTTCAGGTTTGGGATGCGGTTTACACGTCTCTAGACCAGCCTACCCAGAAGTATTTTTACATACAAAAACAACAGTATTTATATCCATATTTTAGGGCGGAGATGTGTCGACTCTTCCTTCCCATTTTACTCCGAAGCGAATCAGAGAGTCCGTGGGGAGGAGCTGTGTGAGCTGCTCACTCCCCCAGGTGTCCTTACTGGTTGGATCCACCTCTGGCCGGGTTCAATACAGCGAATCAGAGTTCTGACCAGAACGTGAGATTCTAAGGTTCCACAAGGTCAAAGTCAATCTTATCTCTGCCCCGATATCCACTCCCTTATTTTCCCATGGAATATTTCACATAAACTGTTACTCTCAGACAATTAAACATTGTATACAGATATAATGAGCCCAGAAAGAACATAATGATACCCAGAAAGAACCTTGAAAAGAACATGTGTGTGTGCTCTGGTGAAAAGGGAGGTGTATGTGTGTGTAACAGGATCTCTGGGTCAGTGAGTTGTAAGTGAGAAGACATTATATATGGGATTACTTAAAACAGTTCAAACAATACATGTTCACTTCAATACAGTTTAGAATCATATCTTTTTACTTCAGAGTACAAAGTTATCAAAGAAAAAATTGAGAAAATACAGGCAAAAAAGGCAAAAAAGCGGTCTAGAGCAAATTTGAAAGTGAACATTTTAGTATGGTAGAAACATTCTTGAATGCGCGGTTTGTAAAAATGACAAAAACTGAAGACAAATGTTGACCATAATTTATTTTTTTACTATTTTTTTATTTGTTCAGCTCTAGAGAACAGGATGAGCTCCAGTGAGAAGGAGGTGGAGGAGCTCCAGAGAGAGAACACAGGTAAGAAACAGAAACATCATAAAAAGGGAAATGTTGCGAATATTAAGATACAAAGACTTGTTTTTGTGTAAAATACAAAAGTTAGAAAAGAGAGGTGAACAAAATCAGAGGCTGGAGCAAGACAACACAGGTGACTCACCTGACGTACACACTGAGAGCCACATCACTGATGCTCATGATCTTAGATTTAATTAACAATTCATGTTTGTGAAAGTGTTTCTACTTGGTCACGCTCCAGGGTAACATTTAGCATGATCCTAATAAAAAAACTCATATGTGTTCAGCTCTAGAGGCCAAGATGAGCTTCAGTGAAAAAGAGGTGCAGGAGCTGAAGATAGACACTGCAGGTAAGTGACAAAAACCTCATCAAAAATAAAAAATGCCCTGTCTTATGTTTGAAAAGTAATGTTTAAATTACATGGGAGATAAGAGAAACACATTTATAATACTGATGAGATATAAATGTTGTTGTTTATTAGTTATTGACCTGCTTTTTCATAAAAATCAGATTTGTTAAACTGAAAGAAACTGAAACCATAATTTTATTTTACTTAACATTTTACATTTGTTCAGTTTTAGAGTCCAGGATGAGCTCCAGTGAAAAGGAGGTGCAGGAGCTCCAGAGAGTGAACGCGGGTAAGTTTCAAAAACATCATAAAAAATGATGCCAACAAAATGAAAAAAAGACACAATCTTGTTTATAAGTCAAATGTTATTTACCTGTTTTCTATGTCTAAACATGTTTCAGCTTTAGAGGCAAGGATGAGCTCTAGTGAAAAGGAGGTGGAGGAGGTAAAGAGAGTGAACGCAGGTAAGATATAGAAATATAATATAAAAGGTAAATATTGCCTATAATGATAGAAAACTAATGAGTTTGACATAATGAAGAGATAATCTGCTTTTTCTCTTTGTTGCAGATCTTCTGGCTCGAGTCACAGCAAGTGAGAATAAGAGCACAGGTAGGAGTACAAATGAATCAAATGAGAATAGGAGGAAGGACAAATATAATTGTATTTTTCCATAAAAACGTTGGATTTGTTGCCGTTTTAAAAGTGAATATTATAGTATGGTAGAACAATCTTTTAACATAAGATCTGCAATAGTGAAATTGAAAATGAGAGACTATAACCTCATCTGAATAAAACAATGTTGAACTTGTTCAGCTTTAGAGTCCAGGATGAGCTCCAGTGAAAAGGAGGTGGAGGAGCTCCAGAGAGAGAACACAGGTGAGAAACAGAAACTATTGTGAAGAGTCAAAATGTTGTTTAAAGAAAGGAACTGGTATACTGAGGAGAATATTACATATCACTCTCTGCTGGCTATCAGAATCCAAACCACTGACTTTATTGTTTTAATAGACAGTTTGTTAATGAGTTCTCATCTCTCTGTGTGCATCCTCCTCTTCCTCACAGACCGTCCTCAGGTGGCGTTCTCAGCCGGTCTAACTGATTCAGGATCAGTCGGACCCTTCACCACTGATACCACACTGAAGTACAGTAAAGTCTTCACCAATATCGGCCAGGCCTACAGCCCAACTACAGGTACTGAAAACAACACACACACACACACACACACACACACACACACACACACACACACACACACACACACACACACACACACACACACACACACACACACACACACACACACACACACACACACACACACACACACACCCTTTCTTAAGAGTTTTCTTAATGAAACCATTAAAACATCTCTTAGTTTTCCTACAGTTGATCATGGTAGAAAATAGAACAAAGTCAAGAGCTCCTACATGCTCCTTATTTAAAAAAACCCATCCTTAAGTCCTGCTGAAGCACCAGAAACAATCTCCTCTCACTGACCTTCTCCTCTGATGCAGGTATCTTCACAGCCCCCGTCGGAGGAGTCTACTACTTCAGATTCAACATGTGGGGAGACATCGATTCATCTTACACACATGTTGGATTCTTTCACAACGACCAGAGAAAGATGATGCTTAGTGATTACAATGATGGCTATGGCTTTGTCTCTGCGTCTAACTCAATGGTTCTTCAGCTGGAGAAGGGAGATGTTGTCTACATCGTTCTCAACTCCAACAACGCCATTTTTGATGATTCGTATAATCGCATCATTTTCAGTGGATTTTTACTCTTTCCTCTGTGAAGCCCACTGTAAAACACCCACTGCATTACGTTTCAACATTACATATTAATAAATAAGTGTGTTGACTCAACTTATATAATTGTTTGTGTTTATTTTTGCTTGGTTACATGAACAAGAGGCATTCATTAACATAACAACGTTTTCTACGGACAATATAAGAGAAACACTTTAGCAGTACTGTTGTTGTCCAAACCCCCTAAACCGAGACCAAGTCAAGACTAAAGAGCCCTCTACAGTCTGTGCCCTGACTACAGAAGTGAGAGACCCACACTGCATGACACAGATATGAAAAATATATAACATTAAAAACAGAGACACTCCTCAAAATTATCTGTCATATCCACAATCCCAGAAAAACTCAAATGTCTTCATTCACCTGGTTGCTTGCCTTATATACTTACAGTATATGTTTGTGTATGAATGTTATACGAGAAATGTAAAGCAGAGTTGACTTTTATGTCCGGGAATCTTCCTTTATTTTATGGCCTCTTTGTCAGAGACAGAAACTCATCAATATGAGGTTGATTCTGAGACCAGTCTTCAGGACTTTTTAATAAACTTTAAACTCATTTTATTTTTGGGAAAATGTCAGATTCACAAGAACTGGACTGATTTTTAATGCAGCACTATTACATATTAAAAATAAAAAGGCAATACAAACCAGGTGTGTATTTGATAAATATTTTACTTGAAATGTAACCTGTTTTATTTCTTTACTTTATTATATTTGTTTAACTCTGTATATGTACCCCTGATGTCAATATGTTATGTTTATATAATGTTAGATACCTAGCATTTGGAAACTAACATCCATAGTATTCCCTTAAACTTATATACTCTCAAATAAAAAAGTAAAGAAAGTTCACATTTTCACATGCTACTTCCATATATCTAGTAAGACACCAATGACTTGCTTGTCAAAACGCTTTTAAAAACAGATATAGGCAAATGTGATGCATGAACTCAAATACATGCATGCATTGACAGGTTGCACGAACATTAAGGTGAATGATCTCTTTGTTTAAACTAGTCACTCAGGTAACAGTATTTGCAGAAACATGCTGGTCACATACAGTTGTTAATCTTAACAGAACAGAAAATACAGACCTTGTAGATCTTGTTGTCTTGTAATACTTGCAGATTTTCAGCCACATCTCCATCACTTATTGATCTGGCTTTACCCTGCCAGGCTCCTCGTGGACCAGCACCTGCACCACCATCTCAGTCTGTGGGGTCTGAGTTCTCCGTTGGGGAGAAAATCAGCGATGTAAATGGTGACGTCATGACGCAGCAGCGGCAGCTCTGGGCGGTGTGAACAGAGCGGGAGCTGAAAAGGGAAACCGGAGCTGAACCAGAAAAGCTCTAGCTAGGAGCTAGAAAGGGAAAAGCGCTGGTGTGAAAGCCGCGAGGAGATTCAGGTGATAAGGTGGGGGGGGGGGGGGGGTTACCTTGGTTGGTGATTGGCTAATGGTTACACAAGCCAAAACATCGTTATGACATCATAAAGTGGCCAAAATCTGATCAGCTCATTTTCAGACAGTTTTTAAAGAAATGGATCAGGACAAAAAGAGAGAGAATCTTTTTTCCTGAAACTTTCAGAGTCTCTTTCCACAGAGGGGACACATGTTGATGTAGAAGAGACATGAAGAAGAGGGGACACATGTTGATGTAGAAGAGACATGAAGAAGAGGGGACACATGTTGATGTAGAAGAGACATGAAGAAGAGGGGACACATGTTGATGAAGAAGAGACATGAAGAAGAGGGGACACATGTTGATGTAGAGGAGACATGAAGAAGAGGGGACACATGTTGATGTAGAAGAGACATGAAGAAGAGGGGACACATGTTGATGTAGAAGAGACATGAAGAAGAGGGGACACATGTTGATGTAGAAGAGACATGAAGAAGAGGGGACACATGTTGATGTAGAAGAGACATGAAGAAGAGAGGACACGTGTTGATGAAGAAGAGACATGAAGAAGAGGGGACACATGTTGATGTAGAAGAGACATGAAGAAGAGGGGACACATGTTGATGAAGAAGAGACATGAAGAAGAGGGGACACATGTTGATGTAGAGGAGACATGAAGAAGAGGGGACACATGTTGATGTAGAAGAGACATGAAGAAGAGGGGACACATGTTGATGTAGAAGAGACATGAAGAAGAGGGGGGGACACATGTTGATGTAGAAGAGACATGAAGAAGAGGGGACACATGTTGATGTAGAGGAGACATGAAGAAGAGGGGGGGACACATGTTGATGTAGAAGAGACATGAAGAAGAGAGGACACGTGTTGATGAAGAAGAGACATGAAGAAGAGGGGACACATGTTGATGTAGAAGAGACATGAAGAAGAGGGGACACATGTTGATGAAGAAGAGACATGAAGAAGAGGGGACACATGTTGATGTAGAGGAGACATGAAGAAGAGGGGACACATGTTGATGTAGAAGAGACATGAAGAAGAGGGGACACATGTTGATGTAGAAGAGACATGAAGAAGAGGGGACACGTGTTGATGTAGAGGAGACATGAAGAAGAGGGGACACATGTTGATGTAGAAGAGACATGAAGAAGAGGGGACACATGTTGATGTAGAAAAGACATGAAGAAGAGGGGACACATGTTGATGAAGAAGAGACATGAAGAAGAGGGGACACATGTTGATGTAGAGGAGACATGAAGAAGAGGGGACACATGTTGATGTAGAAAAGACATGAAGAAGAGGGGACACATGTTGATGTAGAAAAGACATGAAGAAGTGGATTTTGCATAATAGGTGACCTTTAAAGCTCTATAAGAAAATATCTCCTTCTCTTTTACCCCAGGGATTTGTCCGTCTGTGGCTCCATGCTTCTCCTGATGCTCTGCATAAGTTATGGCGGCTCATTCACTGACCATTACCAACTCAATGAAGCTGTCAGAAAACAGTTCACAAGGTGACATCCTAAAACATGCTGTCTCTCTCTTTATCCCCTTAACTCTCTGACACACTTCAAAATGATTATTTATCTTCAAACAGGGGCCATGATAATGCATTCATGTCCATCCAAAAGCATGAGGACTGGTGGCTGTGGGCACAGAAGAATCTCCTTCATTCACTGTTCAAGAATTCATCATCCACTGAGGTGAGATACAAAAGGCATCGCAGTGAAGTTTCTAAAATACCTTGAGAATAATTCATCCAATGCCATGAATGCACGCTTCTGTAACCCTCTTAAGGAAATACAAGTTCCTGTATCATGAAATATAAAAACAAACATTTCAACGTTTTCTCTGCTTAATAATGTGATGTCCTGCAGCAGTCACACATCTTGATTGGAGAGCCAATCCTGTGGAGGGAGGAGTCGAGTGCTTTTCAACGCAAGGTAAATAACCAAAGGAGACATTTCATGTACAGAAGTACTCCACTTCTATTATTCTATTACAGACATGGACCATCATAATGACAGCTCCTAGAACATGAACATGATTGTACTTCTAACCCTATAGTAGCACCTTTACCAATTTAGTCAAACAATATTCTTCCTCAAAAATACAGTGTCTTTATCTCCCCCCTAGAGAGCGCTGTTTCACACATATTGACCCATACTGTATGCAGAGATGGCAAAAGTACACAAGTTGTTTTCACTTGAAATAAGTACAAACATCTGCTCAAAAGTGTTCTGTTTTCTGATGTTAGTTGGTGATTTTTTCATCTGAGATAGGACTCAACATAAGATTATTTGACTTAACAAGATGATGCATTGCCTAAAAACAAGACCCGATATCTCACTGCAGTGTTACTTCTGAAGTTAGTATGTCTTATATCAACTGTAAAGACATATTCTGACTAGATATTAGACAAAAATACGTGACAAGATTTCGAGTGTTTGTAGTGTATGAGGAATTTCCAAATGTGCTGAAAGACTTCCTGTGTTTCTGCAGGTCTGCTGCTGCGTCCAAACTGAAGCTCCTGCAGTCAGACGGCTGGCTGGACGGACATACTGTCTCTCTCCACTTCACCTTGTTCAGCCCTGCACCAAACCTGTTCACCAGTGTGACCCTGCAGACTGAGCAGAGCCCCCCCGCTGGCCTGCTGCCCTCTGCCAGGGTCCAGTCCAGGGTGTCACTCTCCTGCTGTGGGGGACTATGGTGTCATGGTGTGCCAGGTACAATACTGCATTATCTTTTAATCTGTGGAAACCACTAGTCTGCAGCTGAAGAGAATCTACAGATCTACAAACAGAGGTGGGAGTAGTACTCAGATGTTGTGCTTGAGTAAAAGTAGAAGTACTCAGATGTTGTGCTTGAGTAAAAGTAGAAGTACTCAGATCTTGTGCTTGAGTAAAAGTAGAAGTACTCAGATCTTGTGCTTGAGTAAAAGTAGAAGTACCAGAGTGTAGGAATACTCTGTTACAGTAAAAGTACTGCATTCAAAATGTTACTCAAATGAAAGTACTGAAGTATCAGTATCAGAATATAGTTAAAGTAGCGACAGTAAAAGTAGTCATTGTGCAGATTGGTCCATTTCAGAATAATATATATGATATGTTTTATAATGATTGATCATTAAAGTGTTCTCAAAGCTGGAAAATGTGCAGCTAGTTTGAATGACTTTGTATACTGCAGGGTAGCTTGTGAGTTTACTCCAGGTGGAACTAAAGTCTGATTTAAGAGTAAAACTGTGGCTGTCTTTCGCCCACTGGTGAGAATAAAACCCTTGTCGAGCTCAGGAGGACCTTGCTTTTAATTTTCATCTTGTGCTTCTTCCTCCTGTCCAGCTCCTCTTCCTCGTCCTGTCTCTGCTGCAACTCCGTCGTCAAGTGTACGCTGTAGGGGAGCAAGGGCTGATGGGATACTGGAGGACTCCCTGCAACTGGCTGGAAGTGAGTCTACTAACACACACAGGCAAACATATAACTATTCAATTCAAGGCTTTTATTGTAATGTGTACATAGCTACAGTGTAGTTATGACAATGAAAAGCTTAGGTCACAGGCTCCAACAACAGTGCAACACAATAACACAGATATATCAACATAATATGATTTATTTTTGGTGTGCACACAACTTTAAGATACAGTAAACACACAGAAACACGCACACACACACTTGGCCACACACCAATGCAAACAAGATCACAATGACCTATCTGACAGGGTAAAGTAACCTGCAGCTCTTAAACCAACATACCTGTGGAAGGTCACAGCATGGTTTTAACTTTAAAATAATCTACCTGTTTATGCTTTGACTGCTGTAGAAATATAACTCTCTCTCTCTCTCTGTTTGCAGGTCAGTTTGCTGACTGTGTCTTTAGTGTACTATATTTATTACATCTATCGCTCCGTTATCGTCCTGGAGGTTGTGGAGCTGCTGCACAAACACAGCTACAGAGGGCATGTGGATGTCAGCCTCCTGGCAACATGGGAACAAGTGAGACGGAAAAAACAATATTTAAAGGGGACCTATCATGCAAAATGCACTTTTGTACGTCTTTTATACATGAATATGTGTCCCCGGTGTTCCAGGGAACTCACCAAGTGTCAGAAAACACAACCCTCTCTATTTTCCTCCATACCCAAATCTCTAAAAAAGGGGCTGCAACGGATCTGATAAAAACTGATCCAGATTTGAACACTGTCCTGACGTCAGGACGGTGGCGCTACGGCTATTGGGCCAACTCCACCAATCAGGAGGAGACAGCCACGGCCATTGCCGTTCGAAAGCGCTGGAGACGCTGTAGTACATATGCCAGGCCAGTAGATGGTGCTGTTCTCACTGAATCTGCCCTTGCAAAAACAGAGCTAGAAATGTCAAATTGAGCAAAATGAGGCATGGCTAAAATGCATGATCTGTTTGGTATTTTGAAAAAAAAAAGTATAAATATGCCTTATATAGGTATGGTCCTACACTATATTATTCAAATATAGCATGATAGGTCCACTTTAATGTTGAGAAAACAGCTCATTGCTACTCCTGCTTTAGGTTGAAAAAAGGAGCTTCCCTTGAAAAAGAGCCTCATCTTTAGGGGGGATAATCACACTTTACATAATTACAATGTTACTTTAAAGGTAAATACTGAATGAAAGCCCGACTTTAAGGTTTAGAAATCCCTTAGAGATCATGGTGTCAGATATAAAAATGAAAGTAATTATTGAAAGGCATTATAATACAAGTTAACAAGTGCTCTACATGGCTAGGGAGGGAACAGGAAGAGAGGAGGAATGCACTACAGTGTGGGAGAGGTGCTGACCATAGTGAAAATAAAAATGTGAACCAAGGCGCAGTCATGAACCAAAAAAGTTATTTATTTACCAATGTTTGACTGAATGAATGACATAAAATCAAACAATTACAAGATTTTTATATATGGAATAAAACACGCAAAAGTAATTTCTAAAAGAAGAAGAATAACATTTACTAAAAGACATGTTGGGAATAAACTAGTGGGCTCACATTAAGAAGCTTTTTGAGAAGTGATTTAAAGGGTTCTACTGACTCAGTGTTACGTTGTGTTTTGTTTCACAGCGTATTCGATCTCTGCGTGGCGTTACGCTCTTCCTCCTCACCATGAAGTGTGTCACCGTGCTGAGAGTGAACTCCTCCGACTCACTCCTCACCCGCTCACTCTGCAGCCTCCTCTGGCCAACGGTACACAACACTGACCGCACACACACACACACACACACACACACACACACACACACACACACACACACACACACACACACACCACACACACACACACACACACACACACACACACACACACACACACACACACACACACACACATAATAAATGCAAAACAAGACTGGAGAAAAAAAGAGAACATTTTCACATAAACACTTGAAGACATAATGAGAAATCATGAATGAATGTTTCTTTATGAAATGTTGTGAGGAAAGCAAGCGGTCAATAATGTCCTGTCCTAGATTTCCTGTGTTATCCTGATGGTGGCGCTGTCCTGCGCGGGGAACCTCCTCTTTGTGCAAAGCTCCTGGTCTTTCAGCTCACTTCCCCGCTCCTTTCAGACGCTGCTCGGTCACTGCTGGGGTCTCCGGGCCCTCAGGGGCCTCCACCGCTCTGAGAGGGATCTCCTTTACCGTGGACTCCTCTTTCTGTCCTCTGTGCTTCGGACAGCAGTGGTATACTTTATAATATAAAGAGTTTCCTCTGTATATAATATTTAGTTTAATATGCTATTACTTGCACACTCCATGTTAAAAACATCCTACTTTAATATTTGGTTAGCCTTTGATTGGCCCTTCATAGTGTATATGACAGAAAGTCAGAAACTCAAATATGTTTGTTTGTGTCTTAATTTCTCTCATGTACATTGCCTTGGGTTTTTTATGCTGCTGCAACGCAAACAATTCCCAAATTGGGATCAATAAAGTACCTACCTATCTATCTATCAAATCAAATACATCAAATACACACTTGGTATTGCCTTTTTATTTGTAATATGTAATAGTGCTGCATTAAAACTCAGTCCAGTTCTTGTGAATGTGACATTTTCCGGAAAATAAAATTTGTTTAAAGTGTATTAAAAAGTCCTGAAGACCAAGGGTGTGAGTGTACAACTATAATAAAAGTCATAGATCCGGGACAGAGCTATCCAATAGAATCACCCAACGTATTTTTGAGTGGCGAATTGTGATTGGATGGCGGCCGATTACCCGGACCAATCAGAGCGTGGCAAGTCAGACAAGTTGCAGACGGAGGAGGCGTTGTTCGTGTTCTCAGAAGTAGTTTGCATGAAAACACACAAACACATTATCGTCAGTATTGATCCGGACAGAGTGTGTGTGCAGCAGTGTGTGTGTTGATGACACGTATTAGCCCTTTTATTAGCTGAGTTAATTAGCCTGAGACGAAGAGTTAAAACCCGTCGCCCGTGGACATGAAGAAGCTCGCGCTGCTGCTGCTCGTGCTGCTCGGCGTTGCACATTTTGCGACCCTCAGCCGATGTGAAGATGGTAAGTGAAGCATTTAACATCTTAATGTGTTAACTGCAACTTAATTAGCTATTCAAGCAAAGCACGGAAGTGGCTGCTGTGCTAATTATTGGACCGCTAACTAGCTAGCTAAGTTAGATACCTTGCTAGTTATGTTAGCGCGCTAGCTAACAGGACACGTAAGCTAAATGACAACAGCACTGCCTTACACACATGAAAGTTGACCCCCCTGGTCTGAGGGGGTCAACACTAACATAATGTGAATGCAAAAGGTTAATAACGTCTGGTTTGGTGCAGTGTCTGCGTGCAGGTGTGGAGCATACACATTGTTATCTCTGTCTATATGCACAGGTGGGAGAGGTACCTCTACTTCTGCTGTACCTGGGCAATTAAGTTATTGCTGAAAACAACGAAGCACTTGTTGAGTTAATTTAGGCCTTGTAACTGATTCACCAGCACTAACTATGGCATGATCTTGCTTGAAGTGAATATATCTGCACTTTCCTTGTTGTTCGGAGTTTGATTCTTTATGGTTTTTGCACTGATTTGATTTTGCACTTTGGAGAAAAGCGTCAGCTAAATTATAATTTACATGTAATCAAAAAGTACTCGGATCTTGTACTTGAGTAAAAGTAGAAGTACCAGAGTGTAGGAATACTCTGTTACAAGTAAAAGTCCTGCATTCAAAATGTTACTCAAGTAAAACTACAAAAGTATTAGCCTCAACATATAGTGCCAAAAGTAGTCATTATGCAGATTGGTCCATTTCAGAATAATATATATGATGTGTTTTTTAATTATTGATGCATTAAAGTGTTCTCAATGCTGGTAAAGGTGCAGCTAGTTTGAATGACTTGCAGTATATTGTTCTGACAATGATAAAACCATCTTTATAAACTAAACTAAAGGCATAAATAGTTCTTAATCTAAGAATAGGAGCATACGCATTGTAGAAAACATTGATCTCTGCCTTATTGCCCCTCTTAGTCTTATCTTTTTGAACCTGTCCTGTTTCAACAAGAAGCATGTTGATAAATGAATGCACTCGCCAAGTTTGTACGGCTGAAATCAGTTTGGGTCCTCTTCTTGTTTGCTGGCAGATGTTACAGAGGAGAAGCAGGAAGCTGACGAAGAGGACAGTGATGACGAGGAGGAGGAGGATGATGAAGATGACACGGAGGTGAAGGAAGAGAATGGCGTGACGGTTCTCAAAAACAACAACTTCGACACTTTCATGGAGGGCAAAGACACAGTGCTAGTGGAGTTTTATGCTCCATGGTGCGTCTGTTAGGACATTCTTTATTCACACACATTTGACAGCAGCTCACTTTCCATATGCCTGTCAATAGTTAAGTCTTCTTTGTTTATCCCTTTAGGTGTGGCCACTGCAAACAGTTTGCCTCAGAGTATGAGAAAATCGCTCAAGCTCTGAAGGAGAATGACCCTCCGATTCATGTAGCCAAAGTGGACGCAACAGTAGCCAATGAAATCGCGACCAAGTTTGAAGTGTCGGGCTATCCCACCTTCAAGATCATGAAGAACGGTGAAGCTGTGGACTACGATGGAGAGAGGACAGAGAAGGGTAGGGACATCTGGATAACTTAAGCATCATTATGCCCCTTCAACAAAACCTGACCTCGTTTTTAAAAATATGTTCAACGCCTGTTTGTTGCAGCTATTGTGGCTCGGGTGAAAGAGGTGGCACAGCCAGATTGGAAACCCCCCCCTGAGGCGACGCTGGTTCTCACAAAGGACAACTTTGATGAGATTGTGAACAACGCAGACATCATCCTGGTGGAGTTCTACGCCCCATGGTCAGTCAGTAGACAATCTTTGATAAAATACAAATTGTTTAATGCCACTGTTGTCAATTTTGTTTCTCAAAAGTGACCCACTAAACCAACCTTGGTTAGTGATTGGCTAATGGTTACACAAGCCAAAACGTCGTTATGACATCATAAAGTGTCCAAAATCTGATCAGCTCATTTTCAGACAGGTTTTTATCAGGACAAAAAGAGAGAGAAAGTTTCAGGAAAAAAGATTCAGAGTCTCTTTACACAGAGAGGACACGTGTTGATGTAGAAAAGACATGAAGAAGTGGATTTTGCATAATAGGTGACCTTTAATAAGACGTTCCTCACTACTCTCTGTTCTGACTCCAGGTGCGGACACTGTAAGAGTTTGGCCCCAGAGTACGAGAAGGCAGCGAAGGATCTGAGTCAGCGCTCTCCTCCCATCCCTCTGGCCAAGGTGGACGGCACCATCGAGAGCGAGCTGGCGTCACGCTTTGACGTGACGGGATACCCCACCATCAAGATCTTCAGGAGGGGCAAGATGTTCGACTTCAACGGACCCCGACAGCACCAAGGTGAGTCCCTCAGATATCTTTCTATGTAAATGGATACAGAACGCCAAAGTACATGTTATCAAAAAAATCCTGAAAATATTTCAAAATATATTATATTTACTTCCATGTATTGTTTTTCAAATGAAATTTGTTTTTACTGATTTTAATTTTAATTTTTTAATTCATTTTATTGATTAATGATCCGTTTGTCATTGTTAGTTTTCGTCCATAAGAAGTAGGGCGGTCCGATTAAAAGGCCAGGGGTTTCAACCTCTCCTGTCACATTTTTAAATCTTTCATTATCTGGTTTGCATGCAATCTTATGCATTTGCAAATGAAAAGAAACAAATACAAGTCACTTCCTTGCATGCAAATGTTTCCTGCTCTTCCAGTCCAGTTGATCTACCTCCGTCTCTTTCTCTTTAGGCATTGTTGATTACATGGGCGAGCAGGCGGGGCCTCCCTCTAAGCAGGTCCAGGCAGTCAAGCAGGTGCAGGATCTCATCAAAGATGGCGACGATGCCGTTATAGTCGGCGTGTTCTCCAGTGAACAGGATGCAGCTTACGAGATCTACATCGAAGCCTGTAAGTAGCATGACATTTGAGGGATGTTTAAAGGTCACCTATTATGCAAAATCCTCTTCTTCATGTCTCTTCTACATCAACATGTGTCCCCTCTTCTTCATGTCTCTTCTACATCAACATGTGTCCCCTCTTCTTCATGTCTCTTCTACATCAACATGTGTCCCCTCTTCTTCATGTCTCTTCTACATCAACATGTGTCCCCTCTTCTTCATGTCTCTTCTACATCAACATGTGTCCCCTCTTCTTCATGTCTCTTCTACATCAACATGTGTCCCCTCTTCTTCATGTCTCTTCTACATCAACATGTGTCCCCTCTTCTTCATGTCTCTTCTACATCAACATGTGTCCCCTCTTCTTCATGTCTCTTCTACATCAACATGTGTCCCCTCTTCTTCATGTCTCTTCTACATCAACATGTGTCCCCTCTTCTTCATGTCTCTTCTACATCAACATGTGTCCCCTCTTCTTCATGTCTCTTCTACATCAACATGTGTCCCCTCTTCTTCATGTCTCTTCTACATCAACATGTGTCCCCTCTTCTTCATGTCTCTTCTACATCAACATGTGTCCCCTCTTCTTCATGTCTCTTCTACATCAACATGTGTCCCCTCTTCTTCATGTCTCTTCTACATAAACACGTGTCCCCTCTTCTTCATGTCTCTTCTACATAAACACGTGTCCCCTCTGTGGAAAGAGACTCTGAAAGTTTCAGGAAAAAAGATTCTCTCTCTTTTTGTCCTGATCCATTTCTATAAAAACCTGTCTGAAAATGAGCTGATCAGATTTTGACCACTTTATGATGTCATAATGATGTGTTGGCTTGTGTAACCATTAGCCAATCACCAACCAAGGTAACCCCCCCCCCACCTTATCAACTGAATCTCCTCCTAGAGCACCATTGTGTTCTTTTGACAGAGGGGCGTGGGGAGGGGCTCCTTATTTTCATCTAAAGTAACAGACAGAGAATCAGCACTTTGGAAACAGGGCTGAAACAGAGGGGATTATGGGTAATGCTGCAATGATCTGTTTGGTGTTTGGAGCCAAACACTTCAGACATGTTTTGTATATATCTGAGACCTATTATATATTCATGAAAAACAGTATAACAGGCGACCTTTTAAAGTAATTTTCGCCTGCAGGACTTTCTTCAACTGTTTAACGGCAGTCAAATGGATGTGTGGCTTTAACTCTCATTGCTGTCTGTTCTGCAGGTAATTCACTGAGGGAAGACTTCACCTTCCGTCACTCCTTCAGCTCCGAAGTGACCAAACTGCTCAAAGCCTCGCCCGGTCAGATCGTCATCTCTCATCCCGAAAAGTTCCGCTCTAAATACGAGCCAGCGTCACACACACTCGCAGTGGAGGTACTGTCCGTTTGATCATTTGATTTGAACTGGTTTCATTGGGTATTAAAACTCATCATATCATAAATGACTGTGCTTTCTCTTAGTTTTAGTGTAAGTGTTAAAACGGACCAAAAAGCAATAATTTAAAAGACTTATTTCAAAAGGAGTCACTTTGAACTCGAGACACATTTTGTTAATTTATTTCCCAGGACTCCACGGCGGTGTCGGAGGTGCAGGAGTTCTTCAAAAAGCACGTGATTCCCCTGGTGGGCCACAGAAAACCAGCCAATGATGCCAAGCGCTACACCAAGAGACCCCTGGTGGTGGTTTACTATGGAGTCGACTTCAGCTTTGACTTCAGGAAAGGTGAGTTTTCTTTTTTTTAGATAACAGGTTTGACCCTGGATCATACAGAGATCTGTGATGTGAGTGGAGATGTGATTCTCCGCATTCATTGAATGAATTCCGTTTTAAGGACTTTATTTATGGCATCCTCCTAGATTTGACGTACTTTAAAAAGAACAATAGTTATCAACATGTTTGACATATTAGAGTGTCATTTAACATTTTTAAGTCTTAATATGCTATGACTTTTTTGTAACATATTTAATGATAGTGAGTTTTTGTAATATTTTATGCTTACAATACTATGCAACATACTTAATTATGCAGTTGTTTTGACATACTATACTGTTGTATTGTGCTGTGTTTCTCTCATATATTTGAGATACAATACTTTACAGTTCTTAATATTTTCAACATGCTCTACTAATCAGAATACCTTTATTAGTCCCACGGAGGGGAAATGTGCGTAGTTACAGCAGGAAAAAGAGCCACAGACAGCTTAATGTTACATATGTTAAATATGTGACATGCATAAAAAGTACTAAGTTTTGATATAATAAAAAAAGTTACATAATTACAAAAATAATACACATCCTGTAACAGTTCTTAGGATTTAGCAGCCAGGTATATATTACACAGTTATTAACGGCATCTATATATATTGCACATAGGTGGTTGGTATTTAACAGCAGCAAGTTACACCATTTACAAAATACACACCTTGTAACAGTTCTAAGGATTTAGCAGCCAGGTATATAAGTATATAAATGGGGTTATCTGACATAATCAACAACCAATAATAATGAATACAAAGTGTGCAAGATTTACAATGCAGTCACAAAACCCCTTAAACCTTTTTTGTCTTTTATATTTTTTTTTTAGCCACGCAGTTCTGGAGGTCCAAGGTGCTCGAGGTGGCCAAAGACTTCCCCGAGTACACGTTTGCTATCGGCGATGAGGAGGACTACGCAGAGGAGCTGAAGAGCCTCGGCCTCAGCGACAGCGGAGAGGAAGTGAACGTGGGGATTCTGGCCGATGGGGGCAAAAAGTTCGCCATGGATCCAGAAGAGTTTGACGCTGACGTGCTGGGAGACTTTGTGAAGGCTTTCAAGAAAGGTGAGGGCTGAGTTGTGGTCAATTTGGAAAGATGGGTAACAGCTTCTCTAGTGGAAATCCTGGTTTTATTTAACTCGTAAGAGCTGAGGTTTAACTTCCTAAAATAGACCCAAACATGTTTCTAGTGGTGTTTTAAGGGTTAATCCGCTCTAACACTTTGTTCTGAACTTCTTTCTCTTGTCAACAGGAAAGCTAAGCCCCATCATTAAGTCCCAGCCGCTGCCAAAGAACAACAAAGGACCCGTTAAGGTCGTGGTCGGGAAAACCTTTGATGAAATCGTCATGGATACCCAGAAGGATGTCCTGATTGAGTTTTACGCGCCCTGGTGTGGCCACTGCAAGAAACTGGAGCCAGATTATGTGGCTCTGGGCAAGAAGTACAAGGGGGAGAAGAACCTGGTGATCGCCAAGATGGACGCCACGGCCAACGACGTGCCAAACGAGAACTACAAAACGGAAGGGTTCCCTACGATATACTTGGCCCCAAGCAACAGCAAGCAGAGCCCCATTAAATTTGAAGGGGGAGACAGAACTCTAGAGGGCTTCAGCAATTTCTTGGAAAAGCACGCCACAAAGCTATCTCAGAAAAGAGACGAACTTTGAAAGCCTCTAGCTAAGAACTCTCAATGCAGCGGAGATACAAACGGTGTTACTGAGATGCTGCGATGATTACAGTTCAATCATATTTTTTTGTTTTGTTTTCTGTTCATTCCAAGGGATTCAGCTTTCCTATGTTTCTGAAAAAAAGCATGTAAGCACTGTTGAGGATTTCCATCTTTTTAAATAAAATAATGGCAGCTCTGAAGGCCAGCACTCATATTCTCAATTTCTTTTTTCAAGTGTAAATCAACACAAGTGAACAATGCAGATTAAAAGGTTTTAATAACAGGTAAAAACAATTTTAATATTAGTAAAAACAAATTTCTACAATCTGAGACGGGCTTTAAATTCATGGATAGCTCTTGCAGTGATCAGTAATATGGTTCATCCTCTAAAGTTAGTCAGGTCAGTTAATTAACAACATGTCATTGAATAATACATCCAGCTAGTTTTGCTATGGGTCTTGGCAGGAGAGAAATTCATTTGTAAAAGCATCTGAACTAATACTCTTTAAATGACATAGAATCAGCATTCTAACATCGTTCTGAGCAATACAAACCTGGCCGGGTAGATTTTTGTGAAAGTGCATAATTTAGTGAAAATAGTTACAGCTGTACATAGGACATCTAAACCGTACTAGCTGTATAAACAAGGAAGCAGCAAAGACGTTTTTCACTGATGCAAAACAGTGAAAATATCTGTAAAAATCAGATGTAGTGTAATATAGCCTCGAGCTGTAAGACGGCTCCTTCCACACAAAGGCACTTTAAACTGGCACTGATTGGGTCTTCTGCTGAGACGCTCGTTAGGAAAACTGTTTTGTGAAACGCACGTGAAAGTCCCGGATTTTCTGCAGCACGACCTTCAGCTTCTCAGTGGGAGGCAAGATGGTCATCCTGGTGAAACAGCAGGAAGGGAGATATGGTTTAATAGCACTACAGATTTAGTGGATGAGACTAATTAACCTTTTTTTACATTTGATCCATATAAAGAAGCGGGACTAACCTGAAGTGAAAGGTTCCCTCTCTCTGGCCAAATCCACTCCCTGGCACGAGGCAGATGCCCTCCTCCTCCAGCAGCCTCATGCAGTACAACATGTCTGGAGCCAGGCCTTCCTCCTGGGGACGGACACACATCAAAATGTATTTAAAGGTCTCCTATTATGCAATTTTTAGGCATATATTATGGGTCTCAGATATATAAAAACATGTCTGATATGTTTTGCTCAAAATACCAAACAGATCATGCATTTTAGACATCCCTCTATTCCAGCCCTGTTAGAGAAACGCTGATTTGGGTCCTTTGGGGGTATCTGCTCAGAATTACCCGGCAGATACTCAGTTAAATTCTGCCGTGATTAAACGCCATCATGTTCCAAACCACATCAAGGATTATTTCTGAAACAGTATGGAGCTCAAACGCTTTTTCTCTCGTGGGTTTACCACAAGGTGAGTTTCTTTATTTCCTTTTTTTCTCACATACTCTCTCCAGTACAGGTTAGCTCTGAGTGTTAGCGATGCTTGCTAATGTAAACAAAGACCATATTACGTCCAAAAGACGTCGGGCATTGTTTCTGATAGGGCCGTGGGTCCACATTTCAGATATTACGTCATATCGGACGCAAATCTGGATCAGCTCCGTTGTTCCCCCATTTTTAGAGATTTGGGTACGGAGGAAAAGAGAGAGGGTTTTATTTTCTGACACTTTGTGAGTTCCCTGACACACATTTATGTATAAAAGACATAAAAAAGTACATTTTGCATAAAAGGTCCCCTTTAACATCGATGAGTGAATCCAGGTGAGATGACGTTAGTGTGCAGTGCATACCTTAGCTGTGTCGATAGCCCTCTGCGGCAGAGTGATGCGGGGGAAGGTGTACATGGCCCCCTGCACAGGGTTACAGATGATACCTGGCACTGTGTTGAAGGTCTTCTCCGTTAGCCCCGCCTTCTCTGCTAACGCTGCAAGAACCTCTGTCCGCTCCTGAGGAGGAAGCACAAGCAAACACGTTATATTGTAGTATATCGAAATATACTATTTTTTTTTTACTTTTTTAAATATTATACTATGTCGAAAAAATCTAAACAGTATAGTAAGTCGAAAAAAACGACATAGCATTTTATGTCGAAATAAGGCATAGTATACCATGTAAAAATAGGGCATGATATCGTATGATGAAAGAAGGGAAAAACAAGACATATCGTATGTCGAAAAATTGGAAATGTCATTTTTTCGACATACATTATGTTTATACTATATCTTTTTTTTCTTCCTTCCTTTTTCAATATTTTTTTACTCCACAATCACCCCAAAATACTATATAGATATATATATATCTAACGTTTTTTCAGAACATGCCACCATTTGAAGCTGATTATTTCCTTATTCAGGGCCATGTGAGAACAGCAGGCATTATATGCGGTGGTGTTTATAACTGTTTGTTTGTGTTGTGAGTTGTTCCTACCTTCATAAAGGTGCTGTAGGAGGGCTCGTCGGGCTGGGGGGGGTTCACCACCAGCTCCAGGAGAGCCTGGCCGGTGACGGGGGGGCACAGACGCACCGACACCAGCTTTGTGAGCTGGGCCTTCACCTCAGGGTCCATGTTGATCACCTCCATGTAGCCGCCGCGAAACCCACACCTGACCAGAGGAAACAGAGGAAAACACAAAGTAAACTCTTAGTGAACGTCAACAGCGGGAGCTTAGGTCTGTGTGTTTTATTAAGCATGTGATAAAAGGGAAGATAAGATAAACCTTGACTGATCCATGTAGGGAAATGCAGGCGTCAAAGCAGCCAAATGTACCTATAGGCAACACTTTTAATAATAATAAATGAGATACAAAATTGCTTCAGTGCCCTTATTCTAAATGTATATATGTATGTATTAATACATCAACTGAATTGCGTAATTGCGTGCGTGCGTGTACTCACTCTCCCATGTAGCATTTGGAGGTGGAGTGGAAGGAGGCCATCTCCACGGTGCTGGAGAACTCTGGTCCCATCTCAAACAGCACTTTCTTAAAGGAGTGGAACTTGCAGTCCTCTGCGTACACGTTGTCCTGGTACACCTGGAGAGGGACAGCAGATTAGTTAAAACACACCGTTATCCAGTACAGTATAATCAGATTTTTTACCATGGATGAGCAATTAATTGTTTTTCATTTGTATTAACCTCTTTATTTAATATCCCATTTTACTTTTGCCTTTTAATCCTCACTGTACTTTTGCTGTTGTAACCCTGTACATTAAAGTCGCCGTGGGACAAATACAATATTTCTGATCTGGTTCTGTGTTACCTTAAGGCAGTGTTTCTCGTGGGGGGGGGGGGCGCAGAGGCATGACAGGGGGGGCGCGATAGACCAGGGGGAAAAATGGTTTTGAAAAACTAACTTGACCCATTACGTGACTATTTGTGTTGGGGGGGCCCGACTTTTTTTTTTCTCCAAAGGGGGGGCCTGACAGAAAAAGTTTGAGAACCACTGCCTTAAGGGGCTCAGGGGAAATTGTTACAAGTAAAAAAACATACTAAAGCTAATAAGTTAGACAGGGTTCGTCACAAAATATATGGTACCATTTTCATAAAAAAAAAAAAAAGGAAGGTTATTAAATATTTTAATCATTTACTATGCAAATGATAACTTTTAAGGCTAAATTCATTCTTTAATTCTGACACTTGGGTCACCTCTTGTGACACTGGGTGCATAATTAATGTACAAATGGTACATTGTAAGGCTCAAATATTATTTTAGGATGAAGAAACAGGAAGTGAACTTCTGAATTGAGGAAATGACATTACTTCGTCAGCCATGAGGAAGAGATGCTCCTCTTTGGCAAATCGGATGACATCTTCAATGCACTGCCTGCTCTGGACCTGACCTATCACACAGGACGAGCAGAGTTACAAGAAAGCTGGGCGTGCACATAACCATTTCATTTAAAGGGGACTTATTATGCAAAATCCACTTTTTCATGTCTCTTCTACATCAACACATGTCCCCTCTTCTTCATGTCTCTTCTACATCAACACGTGTCCCCTCTTCTTCATGTCTCTTCTACATCAACACGTGTCCCTTCTTCTTCATGTCTCTTCTACATCAACACGTGTCCCTTCTTCTTCATGTCTCTTCTACATCAACACATGTCCCCTCTTCTTCATCAACACGTGTCCCCTCTTCTTCATGTCTCTTCTACATCAACACGTGTCCCCTCTTCTTCATGTCTCTTCTACATCAACACGTGTCCCCTCTTCTTCATGTCTCTTCTACATCAACATGTGTCCCCTCTTCTTCATGTCTCTTCTACATCAACATGTGTCCCCTCTTCTTCATGTCTCTTCTACATCAACATGTGTCCCCTCTTCTTCATGTCTCTTCTACATCAACATGTGTCCCCTCTTCTTCATGTGTCTTCTACATCAACATGTGTCCCCTCTTCTTCATGTCTCCTCTACATCAACATGTGTCCCCTCTTCTTCATGTCTCTTCTCCATCAACATGTGTCCCCTCTTCTTCATGTCTCTTCTACATCAACATGTGTCCCCTCTTCTTCATGTCTCTTCTACATCAACATGTGTCCCCTCTTCTTCATGTCTCTTCTACATCAACATGTGTCCCCTCTTCTTCATGTCTCTTCTACATCAACATGTGTCCCCTCTTCTTCATGTCTCTTCTACATCAACATGTGTCCCCTCTTCTTCATGTCTCTTCTACATCAACATGTGTCCCCTCTTCTTCATGTCTCTTCTTCATGTCTCTTCTACATCAACATGTGTCCCCTCTTCTTCATGTCTCTTCTACATCAACATGTGTCCCCTCTTCTTCATGTCTCTTCTACATCAACATGTGTCCCCTCTGTGTAAAGAGACTCTGAAAGTTTCAGGAACAAAGATTCTCTCTCTTTTTGTCCTGATCCATTTCTATAAAAACCTGTCTGAAAATGAGCTGATCAGATTGAGGCCACTTAGTGATGTCATAACGATGTTTTGGCTTGTGTAACCATTAGCCAATCAGCAACCAAGGTAACCCCCCCCCCCTTATCACCTGAATCTCCTCCTAGAGCAACATTGAGTTCTTTTTAACCAAATCTCTCTCAGAGGGGCGTGGGGAGGGGCTCCTTATTTTCATCTAAATTAACAGACAGAGAATCAGGGCTGAAACAGAGGGGATTATGGGATGCTGCAATGATCTGTTTGGTGTTTGGAGCCAAACACTTCAGAGACATGTTCTGTATATATCTGAGACCTATACTATATTGATGAAAAACAGTATAATAGGGGACCTTTAAAAAAACCTGTACTCCTACCAGTGGGGTTCCCGGGGTTGATGATGCAGATGACGCGGGGGTTGCAGTGCGTCCGGGCGGCGCTCAAGGCTCTTTTCAGCTCCGCCACGTCCAGACCCCAACACCTGTCCTCGTCCAGGTAGTAGTTGATCTGCACGGCAGCCAGGTCTGCCAGCGCGGCCGAGTACAGCGGGTACTGAGGGATGGAGATCATCACTCCTGTACGGTCGGGACCCTCACCACAGACCAGCAGCTTCAGCATGGTCTGGGGTCAGGGGGTGGAGAGAGGAAGGAGATGAGGGGACAAGAGAAAAGGATAAGACTTGAGGTGGTAGGAGTAAAGAAATATATAAAAAATGTATATACATGTGGAAATCAAGTAAAAATATATATACATGTGGAAATACAAGTTACTTATTTCTGTGTCCTAATTTCTCTTATGTACATTGCCTTGTGTTTTTTATGCTGCTGCAATGCAAACATTTCCCAAATTGGGATAAAGTACCTATCTATCTATCCATCTATCTATCCATCCATCTATCTATCTATCCATCCATCTATCTATCTATCTATCCATCTATCTATCTATCTATCTATCTATCCATCCATCCATCCATCTATCTATCCATCCATCCATCCATCTATCTATCCATCCATCTATCTATCTATCCATCCATCTATCTATCTATCTATCTATCTATCCATCTATCTATCCATCTATCTATCCATCTATCTATCCATCTATCTATCTATCTATCTATCCATCCATCCATCTATCCATCCATCTATCTATCCATCCATCCATCTATCTATCTATCCATCCATCTATCTATCTATCCATCCATCTATCTATCTATCTATCCATCTATCTATCTACCTATCTAACTAACAGAGAAAAGCATGTCAAGTATTTAATAATGAAGGTTGATGTATGATGATTTGGCACCCAGACAGTTACATATAACTCACTGAACATCCGCAGATCTACTTTACAGCAGCAGAATAAACACACCTACATTGAGGCCAATATGTAACATTTTAATACTGCGGGCAACAGCATATCTCGTGGTGCAGTAGTTTTGGAATAGTTGGAGTTTTTGAGGTGGGGTTGTATATCTGTAGTCACTCAGTGTATTAAAAGATTTAAGATACAGAGGCTTTATTGTTATATGCACACTTTTTATTATTATTAAAAGTGTTGCCTTTAGGTGCATTTGGCTGTGAAAGCTTAGTTTTGGCAATTAAAATCAAGGCTCCTCCTACAGTGCAACACACTTAAGACATACAAAGTAATAAAGTAGTGCAAGAGAATGATGCAAGGGACACAATAGTGCAAGTAAAATGCAGAAATATGTTAACTTTCGCCTTGTTATGTAATCAATAAGTGGAACATTTTAAATTAGAAGCTAGTGTCTCTTTGCAGACTGTTGTAAATTACCCTTTGGTGGATATATTATAAATAACATTACGCCTGTTTTTAAAAGTAAATGGCATTTGTCCGATGATTTGTTAATCTTCACCAATCTAAATAGCATAACCGTCAGTTCTGGAAAAAAATAAACAAGTCCCTTAAACCCAAAGTCAAATCAAATTGGAAACCCCTATGAGCTTCCTGCAGGTACAAATATGCCAAATAAGGCGTGCAAACCTCAATCCACTCTATCTACTACACTGAATACGGACCTCATTTAACCCCACTCCACAAAATCCTTGATCCTGATTTAGTTGCATAAAACTGGAAAAAGCTGCATCCTCAGTGGCAAAGGTCTGTGGGTGGAGGATGTGCAAAGTGCAGCAGAGTGTATGATCAACAGGAGTTAAATAAAGAAGAGACTCACGGGGCAATTATACCCAGAGTGTGTCACATGTGCAGGGGTAAGGCAACAGATGAACTGATGGCCTACAGTGAGTCAGTAATAAACGGTGTAACGTGTACCACGATGGCGTCGCTGGCCCCGGTGGAGAGGTAGATGTTGTCGGGGTTGGAGGGGATCCCACCGTCTCTCTTCTCGATGTAGCGCGACACGTCCTGACGGATGCACTCGATGCCCTGGCTCGCACTGTAGGCCCCTGAGGTGGGAAGTAGTGGAGTACAAATACATCGTTACTGTACTTAAGTACATTTTTCTGGTATCAGTACTTTACTCCACTACTTATTTTTCTGACGACTTTTTACTTTGACTTCTTACATGTTGAACACAAATACCTGTACTTTCTACTTCTTACATTTTGAACACAAATACCTGTACTTTCTACTTCTTACATTTTGAACACAAATACCTGTACTTTCTACTTCTTACATTTTGAACACAAATACCTGTACTTTCTACTTCTTACATTTTGAACACAAATACCTGTACTTTCTACTTCTTACATTTTGAACACAAATACCTGTACTTTCTACTTCTTACATGTTGAACTCAAATACCTGTACTTTCTACTTCTTACATGTTGAACACAAATACCTGTACTTTCTACTTCTTACATGTTGAACACAAATACCTGTACTTTCTACTTCTTACATGTTGAACTCAAATACCTGTACTTTCTACTTCTTACATTTTGAACACAAATACCTGTACTTTCTACTTCTTACATGTTGAACACAAATACCTGTACTTTCTACTTCTTACATGTTGAACTCAAATACCTGTACTTTCTACTTCTTACATGTTGAACACAAATACCTGTACTTTCTACTTCTTACATGTTGAACACAAATACCTGTACTTTCTACTTCTTACATTTTGAACACAAATACCTGTACTTTCTACTTCTTACATGTTGAACACAAATACCTGTACTTTCTACTTCTTACATGTTGAACACAAATACCTGTACTTTCTACTTCTTACATGTTGAACACAAATACCTGTACTTTCTACTTCTTACATTTTCCAAACAGGCTGGTTCCTTTAGTTTGAATGTGTGTTTGGTGGCGTGATCATTATTATTTAGAGTCATTGCGTGCCTATTGATTTGAACACGATCCGTGTATCCATCATTTCCTGGTCTTCTCTAAAGAAGAGGGACCAATGAAAACGTTGTCATGTTGCCGTTGTTCAGCATGGAAACATTCATTAGCTAACAATGACATTAGTGTTCTATTAATCTAAAGGGAGGTCAGGTACTCTTTAAAACAGCTGCTAGTTATGGGTACTTTTTACTGAAGTACATTTCAAAGCCCTCTTTACTTTTACTTGAGTAAAGAAGTTTAGTCAGTACTTCTACTTTTACCAGAGTATTTTTAATATCTGTACTTCTACTTGAGTAAAGGATGTGTGTACTTGTGCCATCTCTGCATGACAGTGAACTTTGATTTAAAAAGAACACTCACTGCCTGTTTGAATAGTCACACACCGTCCAAACAAATGTTAATGAGTAGACGAATGGAGGTGGGTGCGATGGAGGAGGGGTGGATGTGGTTCGAGGAGAAAGGGGGGGGTGTCTGACCTATACTGTGGCCCCCGCAGGCCCCGAGGATACGCCGGGCTCTCTGCTTGGCATCCTCTGGAAACTTGTTGTCTTCCAGGAGATCAGGGTACGCACACAGAGCCAGGACCTGACCAGTAAGACCATTTTAACATGCAAGTATAGGAAACAGGTTTATAGACAAGTAGGTTTACACATACGAGGCATTTGTCTTGGTGCATACATCAACACAGTTAAAGAAAAGAAAAAACAACCAAAAAATAAAATATAAGGCACTCAAAAGATGTCTGACCTGTCTGAAAAATGTGATTGGTTTCTGACCCATGGCGTGGGCGTCACCAATGTTTGCCTTGATGACTTCTGTGAAAGGTTTCTTGACTCCCTGAAAATACAAAAGACAGGAAACACAGCAGGTGAAAATGAGGACTGTGAGAAGAAGTTAGAACAGGTTGACTTATATCATAAATACTTTACATCCATTATCTCTTGCATGTAGCAACAGCTTCACAAACAGGATGTGTGAAACTTTAATGAGGGGAGGGAAGGAGACATTCATCTGGATAGGGAGGACTGTATGGCTTCAATTCAAATGAGGAATTACAGCGTCCTCCGCCCACTAGTCAATAACAGTTCAAATTGTCATAATTTAATCCTACGAGACATCTGTGTGAAATTGTCATTATTACAGTTATGGCCAAATATGTGTTTTGTGAGATCCTTGATTCCAGCCGCAGCATGGAGACAGAAAAACCTCTCTAAACAAAGAAAGGTATTCCCTTCTTATGCCCAGAGTCAAATAGAGAGAAAATGTTGTTTGCATATCCCTTCTTACACCCTTCTTACAACTCCTGTGTTTGAAATTCAAAAAGGTATCCCGATGAGGAACATTTCTTTAGGGCTTTGGTGGTAGGAAAATGAAATCCTAATATAATCACGTGTGTTGTTCCCAGCTCTGGCTCTAAGTAGCGACACACACACACACACACACACACACACACACACACACACACACACACACACACACACACACACACACACACACACACACACACACACACACACACACACACACACACACACACACACACACACACACACACACACACACACACACACACACACACACACACACACACACACACACACACACACACACACACACACACACACACACACACACACACACACACACACACACACACACACACACACACACACACACACACACACACACACACACACACACACACACACACACACACACACACACACACACACACCTTCTGCTTCCACTCAAGAACGGCTGCCTTAATCCAATAGTGTGACAAGCTTGGTTCTTTTTCATTACATGTCCATTCTCGTCTGAACCATTTGCTTCTTCTATCAACTCGGATCGAATCAGAGTCCTTCATATTCATCTCTTTGACTTAAGTGGACATTTAGTTTGGTGCCTGTAAGTCTGTGGGCCACAACATGCTGCAGCTGTTTATCAGATGACGTAATGTAACAATAGATTGTCCAATGTTTCTTCATACCAGTGTTGGGCAATGAGGATTAAATAGAAATCAATATAATCTTGAGTTTTATGGCTTCATAGTTTGTGCATTCAGAATCATGTCATTAAATGAAGAGTCATTACATTTGACTGCAGGCTGATGTGACACTCAATGTATAATGAAACAGAAAATCGGATTAGATTAAGAAATGTTTGACTTCTTGTGAATTTTTTACACAATTGCCTTGCAATATATATCTAATAAAACATGTTGAAACCTGTCTCGGGTGAGTGAGTGCAAACATGTCCTAGTGGTTATCCAACTAATGACTCATATCATATTATTAAACCCACACAAAGCTACAGACAGAGCTGCACACTGAAACAAACGTTTACATCTAGGCTACTACATGACATTTTCTATTCTAAAAATAAGTCATTCATATTATAACATGCTGTTCTCAGCCTCTAAACAAAGGTTTCTTCTGTTTTATATTTTAAAAGTGAATATCTCTTGTTTTTCGGACTGATGAAAAGACATCTTCAAGAAACTGGGCTGAACCGTTTTCAACCTTTTATAGTGGAAACGATTAAATCCATTCATCTATCCTATGATTATCACATCAATTGGCCACGAAAAGGTTGCATCCCTTTTCTAAATATAGTTGGACTTTGCATTTCACTATGCACTGTCGTAGCAGCTTTAAAATCATATACTTGCAAGTAGACGTCTATCTGGGAGGCCAGCTGATACCCCCTCTGGCACTGTATGCAAAACCATCTCACCCTACAAGACAATGGGATATACAGATACCCCTCAGACACAGTAGGTTCACTCCCAGAGAGATGACCTAATCAGAGAAACTAAGGTTAGCAATGATAACACATTTGATTGCACAATTTCCTTCACAGCACTAATCAAGCCGTGAGATTACGTGATAAAATATCAGGCAAAAGGCGTCCAAGGGTACATGTAGTGCTTTCCGTTTGATTAAGTCAATGTTAGCATTTCTATGACCTTATATGACAGTGGGAGCAAAGCACACCAGGTTCTCTGGGTTTATGGGCCTGCTTGAAATGTGAGTAACTGGACGTTTCCTTTTCAGTCCTGGAGCAACAAAGACGCTGCTGTTCTCGGGGAAAGAGAGGAGCTCAGCACTGATTCTCCCTCGCTGCGCCAGGCACTGATTACACAGGCCGGAGCCCAGAGAGACAAGAGAGAGAGAGACAAGAGACCCTCAGGGCCACCAGGCCTGATAAACTGTCCTTACAGTGTCCAGTCAGGCTAGAATACTAAGAAAGGTTAGCTCATGCGAAACATGCAACTCCTGCCAATGTTTTTCCACACAAAGAAAAATAAAGAAAGAGAAATACTTTTGTGATTACACAAATTACAACTAAATTTAAAAAGTTCTCTTCCCTGGTCTCTTGCTCTGTTGTCCTTGACAGTGCAGACTTTAGATCAAAGCTTAGCTAGATGTCTGGGTTAAGGATGAATAAGGGTCATCAACACACCAGCCGTATAACACACACTTGCATAAAATCTGCTGAGCCATCAGGAGAAGTGTTCCAGTCACAGGTCTGACAGGAAACACACACTGCCAGCTGATTGGACATCGGATGCAAACCCTCCTGACCTCGCAGAAAAACTCCTGGATTTCACTTTCATTTAACTCCCTTTTTTATTGCTGCAACAGTAACAAATGTCTGAAATCAAATCTGTACAATTCGTAAGCAAACGATGGTGCTGCAGGAGAGCTTTCTAGCTGCTCCAGTGCTCCTTGTTCCTTTCTTCACAGGAGGCTAAACAAGTGGATTCCCAGGAACTGGAGCACTTTGAGCAGAAACTGGGCTGCTTGTATTGGAGGTCCTCACAGAGAAAGGCCTGTGACGCTGAGGGGCCTCACAGCTGCAGCTCTGTCCAATGACCCCCCCCCCAGTGAGGAGGAGGAGGGAGGGGAGCAAACCCAGAGACACAAAAGAGGAAAGCGAATGTCGCCTCTCATCTTACGTAATAACCTTCTACCATACACAGTGAATCTCTCAGGACTGAGTGAAATGCAAACACTTCGTCCCTCCTCCAGGTCCTCTAATAAAAAGGACATAACTACAGAGGGCTGCGTCGCTCCTTGTTTAACGTGCTGAGGAATGCAAGCTGGATCTAAATCACCACTGCAGGATGTAATATGAGATGAGGAGTGCTGCGCAGAACATAACAAGCTGTCATGCACGGGCTTTTAAAAAACTACCATCTACTTCCTGCCTCCACTCTCTCAGCACAAGCTGTCAAATGCTCGCATGTCATTAGTCAGGTTTATAGCCTTGTCTTTCCTCCCTCTTTATTTTGTTGCCATATATATTGAGGAAAAAGAGCATGGTAAATAACTTGTGTCTTCCTTCACAGCTAATGATGGGTGCCAAAATACACTGAGAGCCACTCAAGGTTTGATTGATAAAAAAAGAGTTTGGGGAAAATACAATAATAATATTTTTGTGATTAAAAAAAGCAGGGAAATAACTTGTTTTTGCACGTAAAACTAATTTCCAAAAGAAAAACAGACTTTTGGCTTAAGTCAATTTCCAGGTGGTTCAACCGCTTTTCACATCTTCTTCTATCCCACAAACACACGTTATTTCAATTCTCAACATTTGGGAATCACTATAACAAACAATAAAACCAAATGTTCCACATACAAGCGTCAATTTTCCCGTCATATCATGGAAATGAAAAATAACTGCTCTATAAACTTCCCTCACCAGCACGACTGTAATAATACAAAAATCCCTTGTGCATTATCAACAGTGGTGTAGCCTATATTAGTAACTATGTTCATTTACTCAAGTACACTTTTGAGATACTAGTAGGCTACTTTACTTGAGTATTTCAATGTTGTGCTACAATAGTCCTACCCCCACCTCTGTGTCTTATCTCGCTAAACTCCATGAGTCTTCACCTCTTTCAGCTCCTTCTCTATCTGCATGGCGCGCTGCACGATGGCTCCTCGCACCGCGTACTCCACCTTCCTCACGTTGGGGTTCATGTTCTCCAGGGTCAGCACCTTGCCCCCGAACCCGTTCATCGCCTGATGTGACATGTTGCTTCTGTCTGGGTATCTGGAACAGAGAAAGAGTTTTAGATACTGCACAATGAACAGCTGTGACTGTACACGGGCAGTTAAAGGGCGTCAGGAGTTACCCTCAGAGCTGGAAGAAGTATTCACATTCTCCTTTTGTAAAAGTACAATCAGGTAATTGTACTTAAAGTATCACAGTAAAAGTACTCATTGTGCAGAAACATTGTGTGTATATAATTATAATGATATATGTGACATTTCTAGATAACATTGTTGCATTAAGTCGCATTTGACTGTTGTATACAAACAAAGCTCTGATGACTTTTAGTAAGCTACATTATTTAAATAATTTGTCTATATTGTATATATTTCCCTTTTGGAGTAGAAGTAGCATTACATGGTAATACTCAAAAAAGGTACCTCACAATTGTACTTAAGTGCAGTACTTGAGCAAAAGAACTCACCAGCTCTGCCAGTTGTTCCGCGAGGAGCTCAGAGTGCTCGCCTCGTGTTGTTTACCTCCACACGCACTCCTCGAGCTCCGAATGACAGTTGAGCCTCTCGTGTTCATATTCCCATCCGCGAGACACGCCTTCGCTCGTGGTTGGCTGGTTCCTTGTCCAACTTCCCCTCACAATTCAGCGTGCCATAAGGACGCCTTTACGTGCCGTAGGAAATATATAACATCCATGGGCCCTTTACGTAAAGCTATGTAGATATCCCACTTCTTCAAAACCCTGTTCTCTTAAAGGCAGAGGTGGAAGAAGTACTCAGTACCAGAGTGTAGGAATACTCTGGTACAAGTAAAAGTCCTGCATTCACAAGTAAAAGTACTATCATCAAAATAAACTTAAAGTACCAAAAGTTAAAGTAGTCATTGTGCAGATTGGTCCATTTGAGAATAATATATATGATATGTTTTGATTATACATTTAAATTAAAATGATATATATGGATAGTCATTTGGACAATTAACTACTGGGTCACTCATGAATTGTAATTTAAGAGTCTATCATTCTGTACCAAAGGGACAATATAAAAGCAGTGCTGCGTTCAAAACCTAAACAAGTTGTTTGTTTGTCTCTTTAAGGCAGACAAACCACATTATGGTAATGTGGTAAAAGGAGTGTTTGAGTTAATTAAGTTGGGTGTGTATCTTACATAAATGCTTGGGTGTGTTGCAAGGAATTATGGGGCAGCATGTTTTTCTCAGGGATCCTTTAATCCATCATGTGCTCTGCATTAGGAACAAGGAGAGTTTTGAGAAAGGCTCTTACAATGCGAAGGTTATTTTCTGCAAGTTGCAACATTGTTAATAAGTGGACAAAAGCAGACTTTCCAGTAGCTCACACCCAAACATACTTTTGAAATTAAACTTGAGGACATGTTTTGGACGAATGTGGGGGTAATGAGAGACTTGGAATTTCGTTAACAACAAAAGGGAGTAAGAGTTAGGAATGCAGAGAGCAGGAGGCAAGGATTTCAAAGCAGATAGAAGCTGTTGTGCAAAAGAAACACAGAAAGAGAGGCACAGAATAAGCTGTGAGTGAGACAGAGAAACCCCACGAGATGTCCTGGAAAGACATTTGATATCCCAACATGTGATGTCCCTGCAGTCTTCCCGAGCCATCCAGTGCGTATTTTGGCAGCATCACCCGACACTGTTCCATTTCAAACCACGCCTTAATTTGAAGGACGCATCGGCATTGTATAATAAATAAAACTTTCAAACAGCTCTCTGTTAGTCGCTCACAGCCCTCAAAGTTAAAGCATTTCTGAATATAAGCAGGGGGGCATTTTGAACACACTTCATGCACAGCTGTTACCAAGGCCACATACTGTGTGTGTGTGTGTGTGTGTGTGTGTGTGTGTGTGTGTGTGTGTGTGTGTGTGTGTGTGTGTGTGTGTGTGTGTGTGGTAGTGGGTTGTCCGTAGGTGTTCGGATCAGGGGGTCACAGGTTCAAACCCCACTGCAGTCAGCATGTCGTTGTGTCCCTGAGACACTTCACCCCAAATTGCTCCTGTGGGGATTGTCCACAGTATTGAGTATGTAAGTCGCTTTGGATAAAAGCGTCTAACAAGTAACATGTAATGTGTCAGCAGAGATTCTTAAAAGGGAAACTAACTTCTTGACAAGAGTCCCAAAAGTTCTGTGTACATGCAGGGGCGCCGTAAGGAGGTGAAAAGTTAGGACAATTTTAAGGGCCCGTGACTGACAGGGGCCCAAACTATTTTAGAACATTAAGAAAAAAAAAGGTTTAAGTAACCAATATGATATCTTTTCATGGGGCCCAAAATCCCTGGCGGCGCCCCTGTGTACATGTGATACTTTTAAGTGTAGGGAAGGGTTTATTACGTATATCATGTGCTTCCCTTCGCAGGTGGATCAGGACGGAGTGTGACATTTGAGATGAGCTGAAAGTGAGTGACCACATGATGTAAGAGGAAGAGGAAAAATCTTTGTGCATAACACTTTTACATTTTCACCACGAGAGGGAGACATCGCTCACTTCATGTCAACAAGACAGTCAGTTCCCTTAACATGAGGCCAAGTTAAATTAAGCGTAATGTATAAAGGTCCCCAAAACGTAGGTTGCAACGTCATGTTTCTTCACAAACGTGTATATCTAAACCAGACAGACACATAAACCAAGATGCATTAAAATGACCTTTTGCAGAAAAGACAAAAACATTAATGAAAACATTTTTTTATGTAGTTTTTTTTCTTAACAGGGCTCAGTAAAAATCACTAGCAAAACTGAATTGCAACACAGAAATGAGAGTGCATTGACCGCACATCACGTAGGAGTTCATATCGGACAGATCATTTGATCCCTCAACTCTATGTGGGACTTTGTGCAAGCATTGCAAACCTAAATCAAATCTGCCACCTAAGGAAGGCACCAACCTGTGAAATAAATCATATGACAAGTTCACTTGGTTTGACAACTTAAATTATATATAATTTCTCTGATAAATATCTTGCTTTCAAACTTTTATCTTAAAAAAAAAAATGGAACTGTACACCGTCAGCCATATTCAGTATTAGATAATAAATAATGTGATTCCATTCAGAGGGTAGAAAAATAGAAATACTGACAGAAAAATAGAAGTGATTATGATAGGCTGAGGATCCACTGATTTCAATATAAGCATTTATGATCGCTAATTATTTTAAATAAAAACACTTCAATTACGAATTGCACCGTTACACATGTAGGCTTTTCTGTGCACTGGAAAAGTAACAAAAAAAAGAAAATCAGGAAATGTCCAGTCCAATAAAATAAAAAAAAACAATGTTTTCATCTTTCTGTAAATGAACATTTAGAGGAGCTATACTGTATACTGAAACTATCATGACCAAGCAATCTCTGGCTCGTAATGGAAATGTATGCAAATGTGGATCACCCATCGTAGGAAAACAGATCTTAATTTAAAACAAATAATCTTGAACTGAATTTCATTCATCTGAAATGTTAATCGACAGTAATTGTGTAGTAAACGACAAAGTAATAAACAAAAGGCAGAATAAAGCAATTATTTGGTTGTGATTGAAAAACTGGGAGCCGTCGTTTTTCTTTTAGTGTCTCACGTACACCTGACATCCGGAGGGAGCCACATGGAATGGTAGGACCTTTAGTGGAGAGTGTGTATCGTGTTAAAAAACGATAAGCAAATGGGAAATAAGCACAAGGACTGCACCTCAGTCACTGAGATGCTCTGCGTAGATCAAACCCTCATTGGCATGTGGCCTTAACTCACAGTCTTTAAGGATTTTTTTTGTCTGTTCTGAAAGCTTTTTGCCACTTTGGAGTGTATAACGCCGGCTTATTTACTCTGCAGGCAGTGTGTGTGTGTGTGTGTGTGTGAGTGTGTGAGTGAGTGAGTGAGTGAGTGAGTGAGTGAGTGTGTGTGTGTCTACATGAGTCCACAGCAGGGCTCCTTATTGTTAGACTGCTCCTCCTCAGGCGCTCTGAGTTTCAGAAGGGGAGGGTCTCCGCTGGCGGGGGTGAAGTACACCTGGCTGGGGGAGGCGAGCTCCTCTGCAGGGGGGGGGGTGATCTGGACCTCATGCTGTGCTTGAGGGGGGGTCAGCTCCACGGCAGGCTCCTCCTCCAGGGCAGGGGGCAGCGGGGGTTGAGGGGCTGGGTACTTGTTGAGCTTGGCGGCGGCTCGCTGGCGCTTCAGGTCGGCCAGCGTTTGGTGAGATTTCTCCCGAGTCATACTGTCCGCCCCCGCCCCCTCCCCCTCTGAGGGGCTGAGCTGGTAGGAGGCGCTGCGGTCCATCAGACCTCCTCCACTCCACACCTCTGCGGGGACAGAGGACGCCAGAGACAAAGACGTCCCTCCGTTACCCAGGCTGGACACAACGCTCCTGTCTGCAGCCTCCAGCTCCTCTAGGCGGGACGTGGCTCCGACACCAGCGACCTGGAGCAGCAGAGAGAACATTGAAGACAATCAGCTTCAACTAGTCGTGCAAAAGTGAGACAGCAACCATGAGACAAACGAACACAGACCCATGTCGCCCCAAATTGTCAGCATTGTGAAGACTGATCCTATTTATTTGTTTAGTTTAATACTTTATCTACCTTAGTGTCCTTAAAGGTGGGGTAGGTAATTTTGGAGAAACCAGCTTGAGTGCGCTAGATTTTGAAAATACACAGCCGGAAGAAATCTGCCACTTCCTTCCAGAGCCCCTCCTCCAACACACACGAACGCGCACATGACCAATGAGGGCACGAGATAAGTTTGTGCACAGATGGAAGGCTGACAGGCAGGTAGGCCATCCAGTTATTTTAGCCGGGCCGGCTCAGATGAGTGGTCGTGCTTTTTACAGTATTTTTCACCCCTGAACCGGAGTTTGATAGTAGTCATACCACCTTGCTAGAACTCATTGAAAATGTAAGAATAAACAGTAAGAACTAGACAAGACATTATTGATTGACTAAATTGTCGTGTTTTTTTGGACTTTTGTTTTGTTTTAGTTTTGTGTACCTTGTACGGCGACCTTGAGAGCCTTGAAAGCCGCCTTTATAAATAAAATGTATTATTATTATGTTTCTTTTTCCTAACAGTTACAACCAGCTTGTTAAGAAGTTTAATCGGCTTCATCTAGCGGTGTACAAGTTAGACTGAAACCACGACACAGGCATCCTCAGCGTCATGTCAGCCTGTCTCCTGCCTCTCTCTCTCACCATGGTGGCGTGCCGGTGCAGCTCGTTGTCCGTCTGTCTGTCCTCGTCCTCGTCCTGAGACTCCGGCTGTCGGCCGCGCTCCTGCCACACCATGGCCTCTTTGTGGTGCTCGCGCCGGTACAGACTGGAGCGCTCGTTCACACTGACGCGACGTACCACCTTACTGTACAGACAAACGAGAGAGAAGGGGACATTTAGGTTTAACTGCTCCAACTTCATGTGTACTGTCTTCCCCCTCTGGTCTGTAATGCTCCCTCTCACCCTCTGCTGCCGGTGCTCGAGGCTCGTCTCTGCAGCGTTCCTTTCTGCCGGTCCTGGCTCTTCATGATGGCTTCATGTTTGTGTTTCAGGTCCATCAGT